TATATATATATAATATTAAGTATATAATAAAATATATATATATATAATATATATATATATAATAAATATAAAAATATATATATATATATATATATATATATAATATATTAAAAAAATATATATATATAAAATATATATATATAAATATACATAAAATATATATATTATATATATATATATATAATATATATATATATAAATATATATACATAATATATATTTTAATATATAATATATATATATATATATAATAAAATATATATATATATCATTTACCAAACTGCGGCAGTCAGGCTCGACCCCACGACACATTGTCCCGCCCTCAAGAGACAACACAACGTACATGTCCCCTTTAAACCACTGACCAGCGATCCTACAAAGAGCATACATCCAGCAGAGCTAGATGTTTTTCCCCGTGATCTGAGGACACTCGTGGCAGGGCAATCTCCCGGGTAAATTTCACTCTTCCTGTTTGAATACCCTCCTTAACAAGCATCCTATATACATCTACGTAGCCTCCCCCACCCAGTTCCCAGCAGCATTTTTCCCTTTCCCCTCCCAGCCCCTCACCAGCCCCTCAAACTCCACCAGGGCCCCCAAAGGTCAAGTTTACTACCTTTCACGCACCATACCACCCGTATGTCATACTCCACTCTCCACTCCTACAGTCTAGTCTAGGCAATGGATGCCAACCAGGGGGAAGGGGAGCACCCAGGAAATACAACGGCTGGCAATACTAGGAGAGGCAAGTTTCCGGTTGTGCTTACAGCTTCGTTGTCTCAACTCTAATGGTTTCCTCCGCAAACACGGTAGTTGCCCTGGTTCAGGATGTCCTCCTGTGGAAAGTGATGATCCAGAGCCACCTCAGGCACCTGAACCCACTCCAACAGACCTCATCTCATCAACAATATCGTGGAACAATTAAAGCAACAGGTACACAGACTCCACACATATTTCCCCAAAACAGCCCGTCCACACGCAGCTGGGAAGCTTACAGACCTCTTAAAAAAAGTAAACGATGGTTCCACTATCCTAAATGATCCACCATCCATCAAGGCATTGCACAACTTGGTACTTTTTGGCAATGTCCCGCTTAGCTGTGGGCCCGGGAAAAAAGGGAAAGAGGCTAGCCTCAATGATCACTAATCTTTAAAGAGACTTTCCTAGAACTGATAACCTCATTCACCTTCCCTGTCAATACAAAAACGGGAGAGGCAGAACTCCCACTCACTCCACTGACAGTGAAAAGGTCAGAGTGCAGGTGAGCAAGAAAATTGAAGAGGGCAACACAGTGGGGGCAATTAGAATTATTACCAGTGAAGATACAGTTGCCCCCAGGGATGCTGACACGGCGGAAGCACTTAGAGGACAGCACCCTGCCAGGGAAACCAGGGGCACCAACAGTTCCAACACCTCTGTCCCCACTGTGGAACCATTGATTGTGGAAGACTCAGACATTTACAAAGCAATAATCATTCCCATCTGGCTCTGCTGGGTTACACTGGAATAAGGCCACAGCATTTAAAGGAAACGGTTTTATCCAGTTTTTTGGGGAAATTGCAGAACACTGCTTTCAGAGATCACAAGGTTCGTCAACAATTCCTTGGCTGGTCTGATTCCTGACGAAATTAGACCTTTCTTTTTTGGGGGCAACACTTTGTGCACTTAAAAAGAAGGATGGAGGAATTAGCCTATTGCAGTAGGTAACATTTTTTTGCCGCCTCGTTTCCAAAGCTGCGGGCCGAAGTATTCGTGCACAGCAGCCATGATGCTTCAACGAAACCAGGTTGGTTTTGGGGGTCTCCAAGGAATTTTGAAGCAGCAGTTAATGGAACAAGGGCGTATATCAACAACCTCCCTGGGGACAATGCAGTGGTAAAATTAAAACTTCAAGAATGAAATTTAATTTCCTGAAAAGAGACGTGGTATTAGAAGCAGTACAAGAACTTTTCCCCTGGTCTCTTCCTCTTTGTTTCAGCTGAATATAGCAAGGAATCAATGCTCCTGTTTGGAGAGCATGAAATCACATCATCAGAGGGTTCCCAAAAAGGGGATTCTCTCGCACCATTTCTCTTCTGTATAGCAGTTAGGGAAATCACAGTCAGACTGACCATGAGCTAAACATCTGGTTCCTAGATTTATGGCACACTAGCAGGTACAAAGGAGTCCCTCTTAGGTGATCTTACACAAGTGATGGGCACGGGGACAGGAAATGGTCTCATCCTGAATCCATCCAAATGTGAAAATCATCTCAGTCAGCCAACAAATGATAAAGCAGAGAAATCCAAACTACCAGGGGGATCAGTCATTGCCCCTCAAAAAGCGTCTTTCTTGGAAACACCTCTGGGAAGTGATGCCATTGACACAAACCTCACGAAGAAAAATTTGGGAAAAATTGAGGAGAATGGAAAAAACGAATAGGCAATCTTTCACCCACGATGCCTTGGACAGTCCCCACAAAGTGCTTGAGTTTGCCCAGGTTGAAATATTTCCTAAGATGTGCACCTTCATATGATAACCCATGCTGCACGAATATGACAGTATCCTGAGGCAGATTTTTACGAATGTACTTAACCTTACTCTAGAAGACAGGCAGTGGAACCAAGCTACAATTTTCCATCAGACTAGGAGGGATTGGTGCCGCAAGTCATCACAGATTGCGCTACCTGCTTTTCTGTCCTCATGTGTTGCATCCAGAGAGCTTTTAGCAGCAATTCTCCCTGAACATCTTAGGGACAATACTGGAGTCAGGACCAAAAGTTCATTGACGGAGCCATGACGGGATAATCTAACGACTCTGAAACCAGCCCGCTCCCCCCAACAACACAAACATCGCACTGGGTGGCCCGTAGTGGGGAAAAGAGCCTCAAAAATGTTTTCAGATTTGTCAGGGAAGGATAGAGCCCGCCTTTTCCTG